GAATGCATGTGATGCATAAAAAGAATGAGTGCAACTATACTTCGTCTGAAAAAGAATGAAAATTCACTTAGACCTCATCAATATGAAAACTTTCTGCGGTTTATGCCTAAATTTAAGCATGTTTATGTCACGGTTATATCTTTATATATTCTTGATGAACTGCATATTTCATATTGTCGATAAGTTTCAACGCAATGTTCATTGTGCTGGCTGTGCTCTGATAAATGAGTCAATAGGATTGGGGGGTTACCCTCAGATGTTGTGACTTGTAGATACGCTGCTATGCATCCAAAGGTCGTAACATCTGAAGGTAACCACTCATTCATTTCGGCTCATCTTCATAATGCGCATTTCTTCGAACATTTATGATTACAGACATCAGCTCTGATAAATTTTCAAAATATTCTTACAAATCGTCTAGTGAGAATGCCTTAAACATTATTTGCATGCGACCAGCTTGAAACACGAAATGAGACAGCACTAGGAAACAACGCAGATAGTTTATCATGAAACAATGAACAACCGGTGAATACAATCGAATAGTACACGAGAAGATGTATCAAACAAATACAAATTCTATCAAAATGCAGTCAACTTAAGTTAATTCAAGTTCAATACGAAGTTTCAATAAGGCATTTACAAATTGAATATGCGAACGATCACATTTTTGGTTGTAACGTATGCCAACGTACAACCGGCCTTCTGGTTAGCATCATCTCACGCCAGTGTTGTTGTGATGCAACACTTATCGATGGATCGTTGACTTGCCATGAGCCCAGTCGAATCTCACCGATGAAATCATTTTTGCTCATCTTATCGTAATCCCATACACTCACCACAAGGCTAACCTTCTGTAAAATGACGCTATTTAGAACATTCACACATGCGCTCTTGTCAACTATGAATCAAGAAATAAACAGATTCAAATTCGAACAACGGCTATTTTTTGATGGAGCAGAACTGGCGGAATGATGCTGAAGAGATAATGAAATGAACTGAAAATACTTCAGAGAGATAGCCTACTTGCATAAGATCAGGAGATACTTTGAACTGGAAACTTTCATTGTAATAAGGATTGAGTGTTTTATATTTCCTTGCTGTCTTCTTCTTTGACAACAGCTTCTTACCGTGATATAAGTAAATTTTCACGTAAGGATCTGAAATCAAGTAGCTGAAGCACTATGTGAATCATATTAACGATTAAGAATGACAATCCCGAAGTATTATGTCCGAATTTTTATCTCACCTGAGGAACCGCCGACGTCCATCTTCTTCAAATTCCTGGCCTCCATGATCGTTATTGTGATTGTGCCAGTTGCTGGACGATATCGTAACGAGAAACAAATGTCACCCAAACGTGATTCCTTCAAACTTTCAATTCAGACTCTTCAAGTTATTTTCGTGACGTGAACTCTCTTCCCAGCAAAAATTCCCATCATTCATTTCGATATCTTCTATATCTTGTATTCTCGCATTCAATATCAAATTAGTTCGAAAATTTTTCGAACTGATAGCTTGGAAAAATTCAAGTACATCAAGGATTCATGACAACAAGTTCGATAGGAAAAGTGAATTCACATCGGCCAAGAAACTGACCATTTCTGAATCCTCTTCAGGTGGGTCCAAATATCGCCATTCATCGATGTTCGCTCCGAAGTCGACCATATCGAGAGGGATCGATAATTGTCCAATGCGATCGTCTTTGCTCAATCGATCAAAATCGAACACGATCAACTGCAACGTTTTCGTTTGCAACTCACCGTAGGCTATCTGAAAAATATCATCACCGCATAAATAATGAATGTTTTTTTTGGGCAGTGCGAATTCGATCAGTGTGGTATAATGTTGGATTATTGCGAATGGAATCGTTAACTTAAAAAAAATCTAAACTCTGAATATAACAACAGAATTTTTGCATACACTGAAAGCGAATGTCTCATCGAATACAGGATTCAAATTGTTGCGCTTGATTTTTGTCTCGAATTTTTGCTTCCCTTCTGGCAGAATGACCAGTTTCACGTAAGGATCTGACATTCCGTTGCGATCCATTGCCGGCAAATCCTTGCCTTCAATGACGGTTACGGCCAACTGAAATTGGCTTATCTTAAGAACTTCAATTTGAAATGCATCCTACACCATTGACCAACTCAACGTTCAAATCACTCTAACGAGATGAGTGGTGCTGAAGGTGATCGCTGACGGATGAATGAACGCAACGAGCGATGCTGATTCAATGTCATGACAATGTATGAAAGGGAATTTCTCTGGTAGGTTACGCAACTTCAGATCCATAGCGCGGTCAGGTCAACTAAACCAAAATTTCAGTTTCGTTTGAATTTAGGGGTACCGAAATGCTGAAATGCTATTGAATTTAATGCAGGGCTCTTTTTTTTTCAAATCAAATGTGACAATAGTGATCATATGTCGCCATGTCATGATCATTGCTCCTTCCTTGTTGCTACACTGGAACAACTCTATGTCGAAACGAACTTGGCTGCACATTCTCTCTAACATGAAAGCAAAGGCATATGAGTAGCCAGCCATTCAAGTCATAGATACATTGCGCCTAAGGCTTCAATTCGAAATTATATAAATGGCTTAGGCTTTCAATGAATTGAAACTCTACTTTATTTGCAGCGAAATCGTAATCGAGTTTGTAATGTATTTTGCCATAACTATGGTCTTGTGACTCTTCGGATAGCGATGGTTGCACACTGAACGTTTGCGATGTGGTTGGAACTGGCTGATCGATGAAGACCGATTTTTCGGAGGATCGCTGAAATTCACCTCAATCATAATCATCTCTCGATGAATCAAAGTATTCGATTAGCTCAATGAATGAATATTTGCAGAGTTTAGTCGCAAAACAACTGCTTTAGTATGAATTTTTTGTAAACATTAATTGATGATCAATGTTGTGCACAACACATAGGATTACTGCCGTGTAATCGTTGTGTCTAGTCAATAGCGTTGATATGCTGAATTTATAATATAATCTCTGATTCACCATATCATCCAATCCAAAAATCCAGAACAACGCATTCAAGCGATCATCATCAAACAACAATGCAATTTTTTTCGTAGAACAACAAAATCGTCAGTAATTATTCCACATCGCTAAACTTTCTACGTCTCAAGCGTTTCCGATTTGACATTGCTCAAGCATGAGCTAATGGACTTACAATTTAATGGACAACTAATGGACATAGAACTTTGACGGATTGAATTACCGAAACGATAGAATTCATACCTTGAGAAAAGCGATTGAGAAAAAACGATTATCTTGAGCAAGTGCACTTTATGGCTTCAAGAATCAACAAAACGTTTACAATTAACAATTTTTTGTTTGATTGCTTCAAAATGATCACTAGAATTGTTGGAACGAATTCATGCAAGTGAAATTCGAGAAGCGTTCAACTTACCGGTGATGGCCGTCGACGTCTCAAGCAAACTGTGAGAAGTCTGAAGAGTGGAGAACACGTCACAACACTGCTCACCCACATTTTGCGTGCACAACGCAGGTAACTGATAAGCCAATATCAGTGGACTGAGAGCTTTATCAGTGATGATTGGAATTGCGATACCAGAGAGTTGTGATGCTGAAACGTCTAAAAATATCAAATATTGTGCGCTTCTTTTGTTTACATGCACTTGTCTTACACTTCTAGATGCTTACATCAAGAACACCGATTGTGTTGAGATCGAAACGTTAAAATATTATTTCAGTGAGAAATACAACGCTCTTCGTAATATTGTGAATGATCGAGAAGAGTTTGAATAGTAAACGCATACAGAATAGTCAGAATTCAGTTTGTGATTTTGTTTGGGGTTGAATGAGAAGGACATAGAGAATAGTCCGATTTCAGATCGTGATTTTGATTCGGATTGAGTCAGAAGGGTTCGGATTGAGAAATGATTTTGATTCGGATTCGAATAAGAGGTTTTACCAGAGTTCAACAATTAACATTCAAAGGTTAGTTGCTGAACTCGCGCAAAACAAAGAAACAGTGCAATGTCTAATATCTTGCAAAAATCTTTGAAAAATATATGAGTATTCTTGGTTACATATTTAATTTCATGTGTTGGTGCATGCGTGAACATATGAATCATGAATTTTACATAAAACCCTAATCAAAAATTGTGCACATTATAAGAGCGCACACAAATACAGCGAACACAACATCATTGCTGATAATCAGTCCAACAAAACCTAACAATTTCTCATTTTGTGTTCGCTCAGATAACTGATTAACTTCGTCGACACTCAGTCGCCTTACGTGGTCGTAACTAGTAGCAAGAAGCCATACTTTCATTAACTTTAATTGTTTCGCCTTATTAATTGAGCGTTGTAGATGAGAGTGACTCGAAAGAAATTATCTTAATGAGTTGGTTTTTATTTGATAGGTGATGGTGATGTGAAAGTGCATTGCTAATTCCACGTTAAGCGTTTTAGCGCAAAATATAGCTTATTGAGGTGTGTTATTTGCGACGAAAGTATCCAAAATGTAGCCGTTTTATACTATCTCGTGATATCCCATGAAAATGTATTCGATTCGCATGTATTTGCTGCTAAGCAGTGCATGAATATTGCAGGGAAACACTACTATCCATCCGATTGTTTACAGATGATCGAAATACATCTCTATCGCTCTGTGATCGTTCAGTGCCCGTGCGAGCATTATTATGCATATATTCATTTGACATTCATATTGACATTTCATAACATGCATTCATATTGACAGTTATACGAGCGAGAAGCACACATGAATCCTTATCATAATATGATGCTTTTATATGGCTTGCAATTTCATCGTTCTCATTTCACGAACGAAAAAAAAAAGATCACTATAAGTAAAACCAATTCAACAGTGAAGTTCCCCCGGAAAAATCAATCGAATTGAGTTCCAGGCACTGATTAATAAGTTGAAAAGTCTGATTCGAAGACATACGGAAACACTCTCACGTAACACCTGAGGGGAAGATATGTCAAGCTGGCATTGTCACCCGTGAGTACCTCGATGATGACAGGAACAAGAAGCTGTTACGCTAAATTGCCTGTCCCTTCGCGGACAGGCAGGAAAATTCTGCTATCAGATTCGAAATCTACGCAAAAAAACCTTTTCATGTGCAATAGTTGGATTGATTCTGATCTGAAGTTCGTCAGTTTTTTTGGTTTCATTTGAAAAAGATTTCCTAAGAGGTGAAATGAGGATCAATGATGAGGTGAGAAATAACAACAGAAAGTGTGGTTGTTGACTCGTTAAAGTTTATGTATTGTCTCGTGAGAATCAATGCTTCATTTATCGCTACCCATCCGTGATTAATTCAATTCAATTCAATCCACACTACT